TAATTTCAGTCATCCAACAACTGATTTCCCTTGCCTGGCCAATGAAGACAGCTTTACAGTTTGCACTGGTTGAAAAACATAGGCCTGGGAACGATTTTCCACGAGAGGGCAATGACGATCAACACGAATAATCATCATTGTCTGTACTTTTCACTTTGCCTTAAGTTTAGCTTACACACAGCAATCAAAAGTATTCATTTCGTTTTTGGTTATCAATGTCAATGATGCTCTCCTTAATTTATTTGTCTCATGTTAATATTTCCAACTAATGATGACGATTATGCTTTTTACTAATTACAACAGTCAAATACCAATAAAATTGCTGTTATCTGAGCATTGTTTTCGCCAGTATCTATATCCTGAAGGTTGATTTGTAACCTTGGCATCGTCGTCAAGCTTTTTTGTTATTTATCATCCATAACTTAAAGATACTGACCATATTTCCTTGCCTTAAGCAATTTCTACAGCGATGGACATTTACCTTCTCAGACAGCATTGTGAGCTGATCATTTTTGTTTGAATGAACATTTGCATCTGGAGGTGACGATTCCTAATTCGAACAGAGCTGACAATACACTTCCAAGCTAATAACATCTCAGTCTCTATGTTTAACAGAATAAGTTTCACAAAATGATCAGACGTGATAATTAATCATGGCCAGTTCACTTGATTTTCTACACTGGCGCTGCCCTAGCTGACCAGTAAATGTTTTGCTAATATTCTGTTCTCCTGACTTGCATGAACTCCAAGCGCTTCACACAAATGTTGCTTCAGAAATAAACTGACGTGTCTATCCTTCCTTGAACAGACCTTTGCACTGGTGACAGAGGCTCAAGTCATGGCTTGTACCGAGGAATTTATGCCGAAATTGAGAATATTCCTTCTGGCAAGAAGACGGATCAGGAACATGGACCAGGTATATATTCCCTCAGTCATATTCTGTCGCTATTGGATAAGTATGGTTTCCGTTCAATTTCAATGATCAGTGAATTGATTAATCATGATCATTTGTTAAATCTCTGCCCTCGTGTAAAGGAAGCTATCGTGGTGAATGCATCTCAGTTTGTTTTAGAGAGACAAAGATGATAATTTGATAATTTCCACTGCCCGTCATTCCTGTTAGATTATTTCTGACATTTGTTAATAAATACGAACAGAACTACCCTTTCATATACGACACTGGTTTCACTCTGTCTCCTTCGGATATCTGAACAAGACATACCGATTGAATGTGCAGTAATATAATCTTTGTCATGAGTTTCAGCTGCACAGCACATAGAATTGCAAGTGAAATTGACGAATTAATATGAAAATAAACGCGAACAATCACAGAAGTGCTAACATCACAAATGGATGCCCTTCGGTACATTGTGTCTACACTGGTTATAGTAGCCGGTAACAAACAATTATAATAAAACGAGATGTTTTACTTCTATAATGTTGGAAGAGCCGGTACATGGATAGTTATCTAAAAGTTTGACACGATTCGAGTTTACCAAGAGTGTAAGAATCCCAAAGGTCAGGACAGCCTACCAAGCCTGGTGATGGGGAAGAGTAAAAACAGGTAGAGAATAGAATTAAAGCAAAAACGGGAAGTTTTGATCTTGACATACATATCGTTACAAGAAACTAAGAAGGATCATTACAGAGAACATAGAACAGTACAGCAAAGTACAGGCCCTTCGGCCCACGATGTTGCGCCGACCTATTATTCGAATAACGTCAATCTACCTTGCATACCCTACATTTTGCTATCCTCCATGGGCCTATCCAAGAGTCACTTAAAATTCTCGAAAGTGGCTGACTCCACTACCACTCCAGGCAGTGCATTCCACACACCCACCACTCTCTATGTAAAGGACTTACCTCTGACATCTCCCCTATACCTTCCTCCAATCACTTTAAAAGTATGTCCCTTCGTAATAGTCATTTCCGCCCTTGGAAAGAAAAGTCTCTTCCATCCACTCTACCTGTGCCTCTCATTATCTTGTACACCTACATCAAGTCAGCTCTCATCCTTCTTCGCTTCAATGAAAAAAGGCCGAGCTCCCGCAGTCTGTCCTCATAAGTCCTGCTCTGCAGTCCAGGCAGCATCCTGGTAAATCTCCTCTACACCTTCACTAAAGCTTCCATATCTTTCGTATAATGAGGTGATCAGAACTGAACACAATATGCCAAGTGTGGTCTAACCAGAGTTATATAGAGCTGCAGCATAACCTCGCGGCTCTTAAACTCAATTCCCCTGCCATTGAAAGCCAACACACCATACACCTTCTTTATGACTCTATCAACTTGGGTAGCAACTTTGAGGGATCTATGGTCGTGGACATCAAGATCCCTCTGTTCCACCAAACTGTCAAGAGCCCTATCATTAACACGGTATTCTGCATTCAAATTCGACATTCCAAAACGAATCACATCAAATTTTTCAGACATGATCACAATTGAAATGATTGATTACATTTTCGAACTGAGAAACAATTGAATGAAGCATTCTCAGGAATGACACAAAAAAATCAGAAAAATGACATTTAACGGACAGAAGATATGTGCATTTTGTCGCAGAAATAATCATACATAAAAGCGAATCAGAGACAATGAAGGAAATTGCTGGGGAACCTGAAGGCGTTCAATTGACTTTATCGTATACTCTCCACTAATGTTTGAAATTACGGATTACGTCATTAAATGTACCGTGTGTGAAAGTATCTGTTCGATGTGAGGACTAAAGTTTGTTTCCCATCTCTCCTCATAGCAGTGATTTGGCATCTCACTTTAGCTTGAACCACCCCATTCTGTGCATTGAATGCTTTCCCATAATAGGTTCTATTGATAATACTCTAGGGGTTGCTACAGGCATGATGAGACAATAATGCTTCCAATTTTCACACCCCAATTAGGAACATAAAACATGAAACCATAGTCCATATGTCTAGGTGATTTAGAAGTAAATTTAGGTCATTTAGCCCATCGAGTCTGTTGCACCATTCCATTATAACTGATACATCCCTCAACATCTTTCTTCTGCCTTCTCCCTGGAAATTCAACATCATGGAACCCCTACAGTGTGGAAACAGGCCTTTGGGCCCAACAAGTCCACACCAACCGTCAGAGCACCCGACCCAGACCCAAACCCCTAGCAATTTAACATGGTTAATCCACCTTGCCTTCACATCTTTGGACTGTGCAAGGAAACCGGAGCACCCGGAGGAAGCCCACACAGACACAGGGAAAATGTACAAATTCCACACAGACAGTCGCCCGAGCGTGGAATCGAACCCAGGTCCCTGGCGCTGTGAGGCAGCAGTGCTGACCAGTGAGCCACTGTGCTGCCCTTATCCCCCTTATCAATAAGTAACCACTCTGTCTCTGCCTTAAAGTTACTCAATGACTTGGCCTCCATAGCCTTCTGTGTCAATGAGTTCTACAAATTAACCAACCTCTGGCTGAACAAATTTCGCCTCCATACAAGTCTAAAGGATAATGGCTTCACCAGAGGATTGAACTTGACAATAAATCTACATATTTTTGTTTTTCTTTAGTAATTTCTGCTTCCATTGACTCACTAAATCGCATTGAATACTACACCAGCCACAGCTTGAGTGATAATAATCCGGGATCAGAAAATCCTGAGATGAGTATTTCAGGTTTGTATCGATTCAATTTCTGTCAGCTCACTTCCATCCTTTACTCCCACTGCCGTTCCAAATTTAAAAATAGCAACTCTCACAAGACTGAGGATGACACTGTTACCACTGGCTGTTTCATCAGCATTGTCAATTAAAAAGAAAGTAGCTGGTTTGCTATCACACGGTCATGGACTGTGTCCATCGTCTCCGTGCCTGTCAAAAACAGCCACCTAACTATTCTGATTCCTTTTACAAGCACATGACCCGTAGCCTTGTATTGGTTTGGCATCGCATGAGTTCCGCAGAGTACTTCTCAAATATAATTCGCCTATTTTGCCCAAAACCCTTTCAAATGGTGAGTTCCAGATTCCGATCGACTTTCGAGTGAAAACAATTTTCTTCGCAATCTCTTTAATTCTCCCTTCCCTTCCGTGAAATCTATGTCCCCATTATTAATCTCTCTAACACAGAGAGAAGTTACATTCTGTCCACTCCACCTATGTCCTGCGTAATTCCATGCAGCACAGTCCTGACCATCCTTCAGTGTCCTCAAATCCAAGGAAAATATATGAATAGAGGAACAGGAATAACTATTCAGCCCCTTGGGCCTGTTCTGCTATTCGATGAGACTATGGCTGTCTGTTGTGTGGCTTAAATCCAGATACCTTCCTTTGGCCGATATCCATTAATACCTTTGATCAACAAAAAAGAAGTCTCCCATTTAAAATTAATAACTGATCTTAAAATCAACTGCTTTTTGAGGAAGATAATTCGAAATCTCTCCTAGCCTTTGTTCTTCCATGGTATGTCCTGAACGGCCTGGCCATAAATCCGAAAACTAGAATCTTCAACAAATGATAATATTTCATCTTTATCGATTCCTATTTTTGCTTTTAATATCTTGGAGAATTCGATCAGATTAATTAACCTTCGAATTTCTAGGGAAAAAAAAGGACCTAATGTCCGACCAGTCTTTGCTCATACCGTGTCCCCAATGTCCTCCGAACGAACTAACTCTTCAAATCCCACCTTTCCACAATCGTGTTATATTCCAGTTAGAATCTCCTCTTCCACCTCTTGATGTTGTGTGTTACAGTTTGCGTCAGTGATAATCATCTTTTCCTCCAAGGTCCAGTTCGTGGCGATTATAATGATATTGAGATTGAAGATGCTGAATCTCAGGATGGCCAGGCTCATCTGGACAATGATCCTGATGAACCTCTCACACTGGCAAATGCTGGCAATAGTCTTTGTTCAGTTGGTAAGTAGAATTACAGCTACTCTCACCTTAACTACATTTACTCTCATCATAACCAGCGCTCTATGCATTCGTACTGCCTTCATTCCTTTCAATTCTTTGAACAATATTGTATTCACTGAAAATCTACAAACAACATTCAGAGTTGTCTGAGGTTGCTCTCCATAAGCTGTCACTGTGAAAGAGCTGCATTATTGAACAGGAATCTCTATTTGAAGGAAATGAAGAATTGATTCTTTCAAAAAAATAACGTCGATATGAATTAGACACTGCATTTTTGTCAGCTTTTTGAGCGGCCAGAACTATATTTCCCAAATGAAGAATTACTTGTCTACAAAGCTACTTTGACAATCGATCACAAATTGCTTGACTGGAAAATATGGAAGGTCGGGTTTTAAGTTTTCGCCGTTTTAATTGTCGCAGTTGTTGGTGCTGATTGGGAAGACAGACCCAGGGGACCTTCAGTTTGAAAATTTGAAAAAAAGGAAAGCATGATTTG